TGGAGAAAGGGGAACCCTCCTACACTGCTGCTGGGAATGTAAATTAGTTCAACAATTGTGGAAAGCAGTATGAAGGTTCCTCAAAAAACTCAAAATAGAAATACCATTTGCCTCAAGAATTACACTCCTAGGAATTTACCCTAAGAATTTTGCAGCTCAGTTTGAAAAAGACATATGCACCCCTATGTTTATCACAGCAGTATTTACAATAGCCAAGAAATGGAAGCAACCTAAGTGTCCATCAGTAGATGAATGGATAAAGAAGATGTGGTGCATATACACAATGGGATATTATTCAGCCATAAGAAGAAAATAAATACTACCATTTGCAACAACATGGATGGAGCTAGAGGGTATTATGCTCAGTGAAATAAGCCAGGCAGAGAAAGACAAGTACCAAATGATTTCACTTATCTGTGGAGTGTAAGAACCAAGAAAAAACTGAAGGAGCAAAACAGCAGCAGACTCACAGAACCCAAGAATGGACTAACAGTTACCAGGGAGGATGGATGGGAAGGGAGGGATAAAGGGGAGAAAAAGAAAGGGGGCATTACGATTAGCATACATATTGTTGGGTGTGGCATGGGGAAGGCTGTACAGCATGGAGAGGACAGGTAGAGATTCTACAGCATCTTACTATGCTGATGGACAGTGACTGCAATGGGATATGTGGGGGGAACTTGGTGATGAGGGGAGTCTAGTAAATATAATGTTCCTCATGTAACTGTAGATTAATGATACCAAAAAAAACAAAAACAAATAAGTAACACGGTACTTAGCACAATGCTTGCCACTTAACTGTACAGCCTCCCTCCTCACCTCAGGGTGGGTGAGTAGCTCATTGACACAGTAGGTGGCTCTCACCAAATGGCAGATGATGAAAACACGTGGTACCCAGCATAAAGGCAGAACCAACCAGCCTTTCCCAAAAGGCCAGAGTCCCACCCAGCCCAGCAGCCACTTATCCTGCACAGTCTCCTGCATCCTGACCTTCTCTCCTGAAATGTCGGTCTCAATCATCGGAAAGGAAAGCCCTGTGAGGCAGGGGCACTAACCTCTCCCTCTGCCCCCTGACCTCCAGCCAACCCAGCTCACCCCTAAACAAGGTGACTTTCAGGGACTTGATATGGTGGCAGGGAGCACAGATATCCTCAGTTTGGCCTCCCTGACAACAGGGGACCCCGTTACTACTCCCAGGACTCCCAAAATCTGTTTATGCAGCTTTCATGTGAATGCTTCCTACCCCTTCCTTTGTTGAAACATCTATTATAGTAAACGGATGTCTTCTTCCCTGGGACACCTACAGAGATTGGTCCTGAGTCTGCTTCCATCATCATCCAGAGGCAAGACTCCCAGCCTCAGTTTTCCATCCACAGAACAAGTATCAGCTGCCGTGGGGCAGGGTATGCAGAGCATGCTTTAGGACAGCTCCCAGAGGGACTTCAATAAACGCTACTTCTTTTCTCTCCAACACATCTTAATAATAAACTCATAAGCTGAAGAAGAAAAGATCAATTAAGTTAAAAAAATCCTCATGGTGAAGATCAACAGGCTCCTCACTGCTTCATTGGCACACATTCCCAGCCTCCTGCCTGAGCTGGCTGTCTGCTGAGCCTGCAGTTTGCCAGAATCGAACACTACAGAATCTAATCACGGCAGCACAGCACTGAACAGGCAGTCACCTCCACCAGCCTGCCCCTCATGCTTCTGCTCATACATCCCAAGCCCCATTTTAGTCTCAGCTAGCTGTGATTAAGCACCCAAAATGAGACACACACTAAAACATTTCTTTAAAATTTCCATACTTTCTACATGAGACCAAAACCTAGCTTTTCCTGGACTTAAAATTCTGAATTTGGGAGGCATATGGATCTGGGTGGAGGCCCCATATGTATGGAAGTCAAGAGATGGGATCCTTTCGGTCACCACCCAGTCCTCAGCCGAAGGTCTGTGACTCAAGGGGGTGCTGTCCTGTGTAACCACAGTCATCCAAAACCTCCCTGACTAGGGGGGTCCAGGGAGACTAGGGGTCTTGGCCTAACCCCCTGCCCTGAACAGCCAGTCAGGCCATGTGCACATAAGTTCACCTGGGGCTCTTCCTCTTCCCTCTGCCCAGGGTCCTGGCAGAGCACTTGCTAAAAACAGGGAGGAGTGGGCGAGAAGGCCCCTGCAGGGGGACCTCGAGGTATGATGCAGGCAGAGCTCCTTTTACAAAAAAGGTACACAGCACTTGGAACTCCTGAACACTTACTACTCAAAGGCCAAATTCTGGTTTAAATGTACAAGGAGAACCACAGGCTGAAGAAGCCCCAGGGCTTGTATGAAATCAACGATTATGCTGCTGGGTCTCCCTTCAGGCAAGATCTGATCACTATCATCCTGGGCGCCCTGTGGGCCCTCCGGCAGTAGGCTGGATATTCCCTCTGTCAACACTGAGCAAGAAACCTGGGAAAGTTACTTATCTCAGAGGCTTTGTTTTCTCATCTATGGAGCCAATATCAACTACGTGGGAGTTCAGAGGAGATGGGGCTGTTTGCAGCCTGGCAGGAGCCACGCGAAGGTCTTTCCTGGTCATGCTGGAGTGGACATAGCCTACGCTACCAAGGGCCTCAGCCTTCCGAATTTGGGGCAAAACTGGTATTAGTGGGAGCAGCCTCTCTGGCCATCCACCTCTAGCCTTCCAGAGCCCACTCTGGGGACCCCCACACTCTGAGGAAGTAGCTGCTGGACTGTTGCTCAGTCTCATTAGGACTGGCAGAAAGGGGGCCACCTCCAGATGCTTGTGCTGGAGATGGGCCCCCTGGGAATGCACAGGGCTTGCCCTCCACAGGAAGACATCTGGGTGAATCAGGAACTTGGGGAGTGGGAGAAACCCATTCTCAGTGCCAAGGTGTTCTTCTCTGCAGCCTGGCCTGTGGGGTCCCAGCCAGGTCTGATCAGACCACCTTGGGGCCCCAGTCACCAGGCCCAGCTGCCCTTCTGACTGATGGAGGGACGAGGATCTCCCCCAGGTGTGCACCTGGGGACAAGGAGAATGCCTCCCCAGGCTGGGACAAAGTGGCTAGTAAACACCCAGGCCCTCCACAGCTGGACCCTCACACGCAGCCCATGGGTCCCCCTAGCAGCAGGGGTGGCTGCCTACATTGGTGTGCTGGGAAAGCACAGGGACTCGAGAGCCTGGAGTCTGTTTTCATCAACCAGAAGCTTCTCCTGCAGCCTCTCAGCCTCCTGCTTGCTCTGGGCTTCCAACCGCTGAAGCATCTTCATAATCCAGCATCTTCCTCTTGGCCAGGGAGATGTGCTCCTTGAGGAACTCAACGGCCTGTGCCCACCCACCGTACTCCACATTCAGCTTCTCCAGCTCATGCACCCACAGCTTGGCATCACAGCACTTCTCAGCCACTGTGGTCAGCCACCAGCGAGAGAGGGAGGCTGGGGTCACTGGGCTGTCTGGGGACTCAACTGGGGCAAGGCGGGGCCTCCCCACTCAAGGGCCCCAGCCCCAGTGGGGGTGGGCCACAGGAAGGGAAGGGCGCCCACCTCCACCTGAGTGCCGGCTGTCTGTGGCCCTGCCTGCCACAGCCTCCAGGAAGACTTCCCTGGCTTGTACCCCAGTGATTCAAGGAGTCAACTGTCCCTGCTGCCCAAGGTGGCTTGGACAAAGCAGCAGTTATGGCTTTCTCTACGTTCATTCTCTTTTTAAAGAGCAGAGATGACAGGGAATTTTGCATTGTCCTGCTCTTGGAAGGTCCCCAGACAGTTGGGGTTGAATCACAGGGGCCGTCCGGAGGGCGTGGCCAAGGAAGGGTTTAATGCCTAAAGCAGAACAAAATTCGTGCTCCCAGACCCACCTTCTGATGGAAAACCCTGAGATGAGAAGCTTCATCCTCTAAAACTCCATCCTGACCTTGTCAATGGCCATAGATTTGGAAGCAATATATTTAAACGTTTGAAATCTTTTAACAAGCTTGAAAAACTTTTGTTTCTGAAAATGACCTTTAGAGTTCAGTAAACCTGTTTTTGTTTTTGTAATCAGATTGAACCCTAGCCCAAGATGCCCATGTGGAGGGCTAACACCTGCACACTGCCACTCATTCAGTTTCTGCAAGTAGCCTTCATGCACACGTGTGTCTACTGCATGACACACCCTGTCACCCAGCAATGGCCAGTGCATGCAAAGGGACCCAGATGCCAGCGCATGCACCATTCATGGGCTAAGGCCAACCTACAGAAACTGCTGCCCGCCTCCCAGGCACATGCTGTTTGTGGTGGTTTTTACCGATCACTGCTTGCTGGCTGTTTAGCTGCTTTGCCAAGAGGGCTATGTGCTGGGCGCGGCTGGCCAGCTGTTTGGATGTATGTGCCTGCACAGAGGGCCTGCCCTGGCACCTGAAGGGGTCAGCTGGGTCCAGAGCCTGGACTCAGAACCAGGCCCTGGCTTAGCAGGACCTCACCCCCAAGCAGAGCTTCCCTGGCCTATGACCCATGCCCTGACCCACTGTATTTTAACAGCCTGACCCTAGGTCTGACACAGAGCCCCATGTCCTTCAGGCTGGCCCCTCCTACCACCATATTTAAGATCCCCTGGGCTAGAGAGACCTGGGTCTGCGGTCCCTGACTTCCCAGCCTGTGGAGAAGGCAGGCATAGACAGGCTGTCCCCGTGCCTGCCCACATTTGGGGCAGAATGTGCCCAAGAGGCCCCCGATTTCTGGCCAGGACAAAGCCTGTCAAGGCAATGGATGGGGAGGAGGAAGGGGAGGGTCTCACAGGACAGTCCCATCCAGTGGGACCATGAGCTGGCCAGTGAAGACCCCTCCCCCCAACAAGTACCATGTGGCAGTGAAGCCTAAGCACGTCCCTAACCCTCTACCTACCTCCTGGAAGGGGTGCAAAAGGAGAAAACAATGAGGAGAGCAGCCAAAGACAGAAAATAATAAAACAGAGAGGCCGAAGGGGAGTGAAGGGGCCAAGGCGGTGGCGGGCGGCGGCAGCGTGTTACCCTGTTGTTGCTAATTCTCGGAGCAGCCGCTGGGCCTGCGCCTTCTCCAGTAGCAGGCTCTGCTCCAGCTCGCCAGTGCGCGCGTGCCCCAGCTGCATCTCGGTCTGGTGCGCCCGGGGCGGTGGGAGGTGGGGGCGGGGGAGAGGGGCACACACAGGGTGAAGAAGCCTGAGAGAGAGGCGGAGTCATTTTCCTTGAACTTGACCGGAGAGCAGGTTCAGGAGAGGAGGTGGCTCAGGAAAGAGAAGGCCCTGGAGTGCGGCGGGGCCTGCCGCCCGCGCTGGGTCCTGGCTGGGTTTGCTGGACCGGGAGAGGGTGACAAAGGGCATCTGGGTCCCTTCTGTCACCCTCAGGCGGCCCTGCCCCCCATCAGGGAGCCTTTGGGCTGTTTCTCATTTTGGGTACAGGATCTGCACTCAGGAGTCCCCCAGGATGGATGGATGAGTGAGTGCGCCCATAATTCTTGGCTCCCAGGCCTGCCCTAAACAAGGAAAAACCGAATGAGCGGAAGGTTTTTCAAAAACAGGCCCACACCATCACTATTCTCCCGGCCTGGCCTCCTTGGTGAAGGCCCGGCTGTGCCTCCCACCGCCCTGCCCCAGGCCCGCAGAAGCACAAGGACCCTTTTGTCCCAGCTTCACGACACCCACTTCACTGGCTAACAGAGCCCGTTGTGCTCAGGGCATCTGGACTGGCATTTGGGTTCCCATAACGGCTCCGCGAGGGCAGCTGGGGACTGAGGGCTGGAGACCACGTTCCTCGTGGGGAGTGCTAGAGGAGCCTTCTCGGCCTCCTGCGGTTCTGTCCCCACCCAGAAGAAACAAGCTGAAAGCAAATCCGTGTGGCAGTTCTGAAGGGGCAGACTGAGCCCCACGGCACGTGTGAGACAGGCACACGCACCCTGCCCCAGCGCTAACAAGGGCGACGGTGGCGGGGTTAGCCTGTCGGAGAAATGCTCCTGGAGTTCAGAAGAGCTGGACAGGTGTTTATGTCCTTTAGCCTATGATCTTATTTCTGTGAATATTCCTGAAGGAGAAACTAGAAAGGTTCTCTGTCTCTCTCAAGAGGTTAGCATCCTGTGGGGCTAGCGAGCAGACCCGCAATAGGAGCTTGGGGGGGAAAGACTATAAAGGTTAGATTTTAGGTGGGTGGGCAATTTGGCCTTCCTCTCTGGGCGTGAGGAGTGGGGGCCACCACGTTCCCATTTCTCACTGTCGGGTCATCCGGAGTTAATGTTCATAAAAACATGGTCGAGGTGCTCAAGGAAGCATAAGAGGGTGTAGTTTTTGTCCCATGAGCTGACTCCTACAGGAGAGACAGGGACCGAACCGCGAGCGCCGAGAAGGCATTCGCGCGCCGTCTCCTGCCAACTTCAGAACGCGCGCCGCCAGCGAACAACGATCACCTCGCGTTTGGTCAGGGAGTCTAGTAGAGCCGCGGACGCTGCTCGATGGACAGACACCGCTGAAAGCTCCTCATAGGAAGTTTTCTCAGCAAGCTCTGCCCCGGGAGGCCAGGAACCGCCCAACCGCCCGCCCAGCCCTCCCCGAAAGCCCCGCCCACCCCGCCCCGCCGGCTCCCTCGGCCCTTCGCGATCCCAGTCACCCCTCAGTCCCCACTCCTTTCCTCCGATGCCCTTGGGGGCCTTCCCGCCAGTAAGATACGCTGACCCTCCCCAGACCGAGGACTTGACTTACCACAGAGTCACTATTTGCCTTCTTTGTGCTACACAAAGTCTTCCCTCTGATCCCCCCCACACCATGCGTGCCCATCATAATACCCCTGAATCCCCTTCTCCCCCCCTCCCTCACTCCTCCCCTTTGGTAACCGCCAGTCCCTTCTTGTAGTCTGTGAGTCTGTTGTTGTTTTGTTCCTTTAGTTTTGCTTCGTTGTTATATTCCACAAATGAGGGAAATAATTTGGTACTTGTCTTTCTCCACCTGGCTTATTTCACTGAGCATAATATCCTTCAGCTCCATCCATGTCGTTGCAAATTGTAGAATTTGTTTCTTTCTTATGGCCGAGTAGTATTCCATTGTGTATATGTACCACCTCTTCTTTATTCATTCATCTACTGATGGACACAGGTTGCTTCCATATCTTGGCTATTGTAAACAGTGCTACAATAAACATAGGGGTGCATATGTCTTTTTGAATCTGAGAAATTATATTCTTTGGGTCAATTCGTAGGAGTGGAATTCCCAGGTCAAATGGCATTTCTATTTTTAGTTTTTTGAGGAACCTCCATATTGCTTTCCACAATGGTTGAATTAGCTTACATTCCTACCAGCAGTGTAGGAGGGTTTCCCTTTCTCCAAATCCTCGCCAGCATTTGTTGTTCTTAGTCTTTTTGATACTGGCCATCCTAACTGGTGTGAGGTGATATCTCATTGTGGTTTTTATTTGCATTTCCCTGATAGTTAGCGATGTGGTACATCTTTTCATGTATTTGTTCGCTATCTGAATTTCTTCTTTGGAAAATTGTCTGTTCATATCCTCCACCCACTTTTTCATTGGGTTATTTGCTTTTGGGGTGTTGAGACGTGTGAGTTCTTTATGTATTTTGGATGTTAACCCCTTGTTGGATATGTTATTTACAAATATATTCTATACTATAGGATGCCTTTTTTGTTCTGTTGATGGTGTCCTTTGCTGAACAGAAGCTTTTAAGTTTGGTGTAGCCCCATGTGTTCATTTTTGCTTTTGTTTCCCTGCCCAAGGAGACACTTTGAGGAAAAATTTGCTCATATTTATATTCAAGAGAATTTTGCCTATGTTTTCTTCTAAGAGTTTTATGGTTTCATGACTTACATTCAGGTCTTTGATCCATTTTGAGTTGACTTTTGTGTATGGGGATAGACAATAATCCAGTTTTATTCTTTTGCATGTAGCTGTCCAGTTTTGCCAACACCAGTTGTTGAAGAGGCTGACATTTCCCCATTGTATGTCCATGGCTCCTTTATCATATATTAATTGTCCATATATACTTGGGTTTACATCTGGGCTCTTTAGCCTGTTCCATTGGTCTATGGGTCTGTTCTTGTGCCAGTACCAAATTGTCTTGATTACTGTGGCTTTGTAGTAGAGCTTGAAGTCAGGGAGCATTATCCCACCCACTTTCTTCTTCCTTCTCAGGATTGCTTTGGCTATTTGGGGAGGACTTGACTTTGAAATCCTTTTTTTCCCTTAAGTCCTAAGTGGGTTCATGTGTCTCACATGCCTCTCAACACCCAAAAAACAAGGTGTTTGACCTCTTTAAGCACCTTGGTGTGTATCAGCCATGTCCTGCCTTCCTTTAGCCTTTGCTATGAGATGTGCTGCCAGAACTGTTCCCTTCCTTCAGTTCTTAAAGCTCTGAACTTTAATACAGTATGGGTTTAGCAGAATACTTGGTAAATCACTTAAAATATCCCTACTTCAGGTGAAAATATCTTCTGTCTTTAAAGCATAGTACTATAATAGATTTTGTTACTTTTTTTCCTTTGGACCAATAAATTGTATCAGCTGAGCTCAAAGAGGTGTACCTAGGAAACCTCCTTGATGTATATAACTTGACTGATAAAGATGATTAGATTAAAAGACTTGTTTTTTCATTTAGTCCCAGTAGCTGAGTGATAACAACAAAATTCAAATCTTTGGTGACAACACTAGATCCTTGATAAGTACATTTATTTGAAAAGGTGAACATTCAGGTTTTTAAATGTTTGACTTTAGGTATATATTTCTGATGACTTAGCATAAAAGATTGAAGGATTCTTGTGGAGGTCAGAGAGAAAATAACTACTTTATGGTCAAAACAGCTTTCTCATGTTCTCCAGGTTGGTAGTTTGTCTAGACCCCAGTGAGCCTATAACTGAGGGCTCTGTATTATCTTTCCTGTAATTGGAATAAGCAGTGTTTATGTGCACCATGCACAGGCCTTATGTGTGGTACGTGTTCTTCTTCTCTTACAGACTGAATTAAGTGAGAGCACTGGGGGATGTGTGTAGGTGGGTCGCTAAAGTGTTTTTTTGTTTTTAATTTATGGATGGTAGGATATTAAATTTGTGGTTGAAGTGCTTTGGTGAGAAGTTAGCAAATAATCAGTACACCTGAATAGTTAAAAAGGTCTTGAAGTGAGGGGCGGAGCCAGGATGGTGGCGTGAGTAGAGCAGTGGAAATCTCCTCCCAAAAACACATAGAGCTATGAAAATATAACAAAGAAAAATCTTCCTAAAATAGAGACCACAGGACACAGGACAACATCCAGACCACATCCACACC